TGGGACCCGAGGAAGGGCGGGAGGAATGGTACTGAGTAACGATAATAATATATGAACATAATAACCATCTATATTACATTAATTACACCTATTTACGAACTAATTATGTATTATGTTATTAACAATAATATAATATATTATTAGATCATGTAATAAATAGTAATAGTATTAAATAATGCATAATATGGTAACAAAATTATTAGATATTGTTACATGAATGCAACGGTGTACCTACTGAGAACTTTTATGAACCACTTGGCAGCTGCGTTTCATAACGATGCCTTTTATTTCGCCTAATAATATAACCAATTATTAGATAACGAAATAAATAGAATAACAAGCAATACAATGACATACAGAATTCTTAGATACTGTTATATTAATGCAATAATAATACCTATTATTATATTATTATAATACCTAACGAGAACTTTTATTAACTGCTTAATAGCCATATTGCACGACAAAGCTTTTAAGGTCATAACCTAATTTAAGAGCCATAGTATTTAATGTCCCATGAACGACAGTCCGCCGTAGACTTCTAATGGGACCCTTCCATAAGAATCCGGAATTATTCCAGTTGAAATGCCAACTGCAAATTAATCGCCCCTCGCATATTCCACCGGAATAATTATTATTGCATTAATAATATTGCAATTCGTAGATATTGTTATATTAATGCCATAATGATTGCATTAATATAACAATATCTAAGAATTCTGTTACAATATGATTGAATTGTATTGCTCTTTATTCCTCCGGCCTCGATTCCCGTCCCGACTCTGAAAGCAAAAACACATTCACGGGCCGAGCAACGGCAGCCTAAGCAACTTCCTCATCGCTCGAAACCCTGAATTAAAATTTGCATTTATGGTTTCTCCAGGGAAAGGATACATCGACAAGGTGGACCCCAGCTCCCATCGCCCACAGCTACGACGGCTGGCCGGGAAGTTCTCTGCTTTACACGGCGAAGCGAAGCAACAGCCCACCCCATAAAGCCTGTTTCGATCAGTGTTCTGCAAGGAAACTTTTGTGCCCGCTCACGGGCCCGGACCGGTGCCGAAGAAACGGGGTCGCTTGCAGACCGAGCAAATCTGAGAGGCGCTGAAGGGCACCCTGAAGATGGTGCACCTGACCCTCGGAGGTTCGTGCCAGTCTACATCACGCGGCTTTTGGGGGGAGTCAGGTTGGGGCCCCCAAAGCCCGAACTTAATTGTTTCTGTGAGAGTCTTCCCCCACACCATGATTCCTAACCTGACACCAATCAGGATTAGGAGGAACCGGAGCTGAAACTGGCAAAGCGTTGGCAGTAGAAATCCAACCCCGATTTAACACCCTCTTACGACGGGTTGGGATACGGCACCTGGCTTGCAGACAGGAGATGCCAGTTTTGACCCTCGGTGTCCTCGGGCTGAGAAAAACTCCTGCTGCAAAAATCTGGCTGGGCGCTCGTGGGCTGCAAAATGTTGGGGTCCCCGTCTCTCTTTTCAGAGATTTTCAGCCCGGATCTGGTACCCTTATTGGTTTCACCGGTCAGTATCCGTGCGTCCGAGTTCGGAAAAGCCCACCAGTTTCAGGAAACTGTCCTCTGAAGGATGCAGGACGGGACGGCCACCGCCCTGCGTCTTTCCGCTCAGGCTTTTAAAAGAGATTGTTGTAAAGATCAATCCTGACACAGCAATTCTTAACGCAGGATCCATTTAGGGGTCAGACGGACAGGCAGATGAAGCGTTGCCAGTCCCGAAGATAATTTCATTTTCTGGCAATGATCAAGGGTGCATTAAGCTGACTGTTATTATAAAACTGGTAAGCCAGCAAAAGGAAAAAGAAGGGAGACTGTTCCTGCATATTTAGAAAAGGAAGGAAGGAAGGAAGGAAGGAAGGAAGGAAGGAAGGAAGGAAGGAAGGA